GCTGCAAACACTGCTGGGTTTTTCACGCAGCCAATAAAAAGGCTGAGCTTTGATGACTCTCCAACTGGTGGAGGCTGGTGGGTTTGGACAGGCCTAAGTTGAGGGTATAATATGGATGTCTACATGTTGAAGTCACATGGTGTTGCAGATGGTAGGTGAGGTTGCAGATGGTGAGTAGTGCTTCCTGTTGATATCTCTGTGACAAGATCTCTCAGTGCATGGTTCCAGAAGGAATCATTTTCTTAAATGTTATGATGTGTGAAAACTTCAAGGGCAGGGAGAACACCCCTTCCCTTATCTCTTCACATGCCCCTTAAATGAATTTACTCCAAAATAAGTGGTAAATGGGGCAATTGAATCCTTGCTAGTCCAAATAAGTATTTACCAATCCCAAAGGATAAAACCCCTTAAGAAAAACAGAGAGAAATTCTTTAGTATCTGATGAATAGAAATAGTTGCTTAAATTAGATTTTCTAACTCCCAGTCTCCTTTTTCCATATATTATCACTCCTCTCCTCTCTTTTAAACTAGCTTTTGTTTCCTATCAACTCTTTCCTCTTATTGTGATATGAGTTACCACTAAGGGAATCTCTTGTCTCCTGCTAAAACCAAAATATTCCTGCATCTCTCACTGAGTGAAAATCAGAAATAGTTGTTTTTTTTTCTTTTACATTTTATGAGATAACTCAGAGAGTCATAGAAAAATTGCAGAGTAAATTCTGAGCTGGTGCTTCTGCTCCTTTGCTCTCTCAGTAACACTAGATTTTCTCCTCATATGTGTTGCACTTTTTATCCTTCAACCAAAATCTGTTGGCAGAAGAATTTGGTACGAGTTTGTGTAAGTTGCCTGGAGTGGACATCTGTTGTTTTCTTGCCCAGCACCCCTTATTCTCTTCTTTAACATACACACTCTCTCTTTCCTTTGGTGAATTATTCGATTCCCACCTAGTGGGGCTGCACATGATGTGCCTCCATCGTTACAGGGATGGGACCAGCAGTGGACAGGAGAAAGGGCGTTTTTGAGGACTGATAGGAATGCTGGGTTTGTCTTTTTTTGTCGTTATAGACCAAAGGGATTTTGTGAACATGCAGTTGCTGGGGGTCATCTTTGCTGGTATGGAGATTAAGAATTAGAAGAAAACAGCAGAGAGGGAGAGGGAGAGGGGGAGGGGGAGAGAAAGAGAGAATTTGAGGAAAAAGAGAAAATGAGAGAGAGTGAATGAGAGAATGGGGGGAGGGATATTTGAGATTAATTTTTATGAAGAGAAGTGACTTTTAAAGAAATTTCTGGTACTGCTAGTAGTGCTAATAGGTGATGGTATTGTGTACAGGACATTAAAGGCTTCTCCATGGCCTGATATCATACTATGCTGATAACAAATCATATTACAACTTGCAAGGGCTTGGGGATTAAATTTGTTTTAGAACTTGACTAAAAAACAATTCCGGAAGTCCTAATCAAGTGATCATACTGATTTGAGAGAACAACTTTGCTTCCTGCCTAAATGAAGCACTTATTCATAAAGTCACTACTGGAATTCACAGACTGACAATTCCTTCTGACTTCTTGGCATTGTACTGGAGAACAGTACCTTAGCCAAGATGAACCCCTGGCACAATTGTAGCAACATTTTGTTAGTAACACATCTATGCTTATAAATAACCTGGTTACTTAGTAGACAACTTAGTCTGCTTGTCATGAATTTGAATAAGAACATAATATAGAATTTCAGACAGTGTTTCCTTTTGGATTGCTAAATGTACTTAAGAGGTAGTACAGGATTAAAATTCACATGAGCATCAGAGGATTTTGCTAGCTCATCAATTTAATTTACCCATGAATGTTTAGGTTCTAATGGGTATGTATTTTTTTAAAAAATATTTTTATTGGGGAATTGGGGGAAGGGGAACAGAAAAGTTGCTGTCCTTTTGTTCTTCAGTCTAGTTGTGGAGGACGTTGCTTCACTGGCCCAAGTTGGCACCATCATTGCGCTCTTCCCAGACAAAGGCAGATCAGTCACCGGCTTCTGGACAGCCGCTCACGTTGGCTGCTGGCTACACGTGGTAGCCCATGGCAACCCACTGCAGCAGGGGCTGCAGCCTACGCCATCACCGGCGACTCACGGCAGTCCAGCTCCAGGTTGAGCTGTTGTTCAGCATCTTAGCTGTGGAGGGCAGTGTCACTGACCCTCATATGTGGGAACCGAACTGGGGCCCTCTGGCATCCCAAGCCAGTTCTTAACCATTGCGCCACTCGGCTGGCAGTATTTTTTGTTTTTAATGTTGATGCCACGTATGCTACCTTTATAATTTTTCATTTATGTCATAATTCTGGCTTAATGGGTTATTTTCCATAGTTTTATATTCTAAACAAATAGAAGTTGCTCTTTCCCCACCCCCCCCACTCAATTTTTAAAAATAAAATAACACTAATAGAATAAGTTAGTGACAGGAGTATTGATATGATTTTGCATGGATTTAGTGGGTAGATGTTATAAGGGGGCAGACTTCAAACTGATATCAGGAAAACTTCCTAGCATTGTCTTATTAACTTAGTAACCTATCCCATAGTTGGGAGGTTTCAAGTGGTAACTGTGCTTATCACTTGGTGATCCCTGTTAAGGATATTATAGAAAAGATTTATGTATTGGTACGTGTTTTGTGCAAAACAACATTTTAGAGCTATTTTAGCTCCAAGGGACAATATATTACTAGTGGTTATACTAATACTATTAATACTGGCATTAATAGTAGTAATTACCATTTACTAAGCATCTACTATATGCTAGGCATTTTACGTACACATCTAGTTAAGCCTCATATCAACCTTCCGTAGATATTAGTCCCACCAATGTGGACTGGAGGCCTAACTGTTCTCTATTATTTTTCATGTGTGTTGTCTTGACCCTTCTAGTTAATTGCAAACTCATTCTTCAGAGAGAAGGCAGCATTGTATACTTTATATTATTCCTTACAGTTGATGCAAATATGGAAGTGTGGGACAGATTCAACTTGAAAGTTGTCTGTTAAATTCTGCTGTATACGTTACCTTGACAAATTTTTTTTAGGAGAGTCCTGAAACTTTGATCTTTGTGTCAAATTTTTCACGTGGTTCATATATTGGAGAGGTTACTGCAGAACTGTGAGATTGTTCTTACAGAATTGTTTTACAAGGAGAAAGAGTAAAATGTAGAAGTTGAGAAGAAGAAGAATGATGTATAACCTTTAATCACTTCCTCTTCCTTACTAGGACAGTGACAATTACCTAACTTGCTTGAACATTGTCCATTTCAATGTTGTGGTGGAGGAGGGGAAGAAATTTAATGATGTCTGTGAATAATGAAATTATTGTTTTAACTCATTTGATTCAATTGCTCATATTATTTTTCTGTCCTACAGATCTCTCTGTTAATGTCAATGGAACGATTACAGTGTCAAGATGTTTCACCCACTGGAATGTGGTAAGATGTTATGGCTTGACATATTGAAAATAATATTTGTTATATGAATGCCATGCATAATCACTTGTTTGGTCACTTACAGCACAATGGGAAAAGAGTAATATTCTGAAATCCAAAACGTCATGTTGTCTACATAAGAGGTGTTTTATGATTGTCTGCACTGTCATTACGATCAGTTAGCATTTTACCAGTGTCTTTCTACAGAATCATATTTATTATAGCTATTTGCTAGCAGCCATTGATGTACTTACCATTTTGGGGGTTTTAATATAATTGCAACACAGGGGATCAATAAAGTTTTTGATAGGATGTGCCAGTTGGATAATGAAAGTGATTTGGAAGCATGGATATTCTGTGAGGAAATCATCCTTGTTGAATAATGTGGAGACTCAGAGCTTTGCTTCTAGAAGGTGTAACTAAAGCTTTGGGCCCTAAAGAAGGAGCATGTGACTTATGGGGAGTATCAGCAAGGAAGCCGTTTTTAAATCCAAGAACTAATATATGTAGATTCTATTTAAGACTCAGACTTGTGCTATGAAGGTTGAAGAATAGAATTCATTCTTCCTTCCATATACCCAGGATGAAATGTTAGTGTTAAAAGAGACCTTAGTGGTCAGCTGGCCTCACGTTCTAATTTGATAGTCAAAGAAGACCAGAGACTAATTGAGAAGTCCAAAGTCACCTAGTCACCATATCTTGAATAAAATCTTTTGACTTTCAGTTCAGTGCTCTTTCTATTTCACTCCTATAATCCCTTCCAAACCTTAGCATCCTTCAGTGTTATCTAAAAGACCTCAACACCATGGAAATTGTTACTATAACAGGGAAAGCTAAAGGCTGGGTATTTGCTCAGCTCTCTGCCATCTTAGTATCTGTGTACACTTGGGGAAGTTACTTAACATCTGAGCCTCAATATTCTCATGTGTAGGATGTAGAGCTCCCCCCAATAGAGTTGTTATGAAGATTGCTAGTTAACTCATACAAAGCATTTAAAACATTGTTATTAGTCCCAGTTCTTCTTCCTTTAGTAATGAACATTTAATTGTGTATACATTTAAATTGCTTGAAGGGGCTGTTGCTCAATTGGAATTTAAGAAGGCACTAGTTAACTTCTTTTTGGTGTCATGATTTTGAGATTTCTCCATTTTTATCTCAGTTGGGAATTTTTAATTAAAAATCCAGAGGAAAATGAAAAAAATAACTCCTCTTGTAATTTCACTTGCATTGTTTCACCCTTAGATCACTTGCAGGAAGCCTCAAGGAGCATTAAGGATTAGAAATATTAGGCATCATAGTCACAAAGATTTCTCTATAATCTTCGGAATTATGTTTTAATGTGGAGTAGGAATTGAGTCTTTCATAATATTTTTCAAATATTTATAATATTGTGTGTATGTATTTGGGTGTTTAAAAAAGGGAGCTTTTTTTATAATCTCTTTAAATACCTTTGAAGATAGTGAATCACAGGTTTTTGGACTACCATGAGCTTGTCAGCTTAGAATGCAAGAGGTATTCAAACCTTGTTGAGGCAATATGTTTTTTTTTTTAATTTTAATTACACATTTGAAGTCTTGATTATACCCTAGGGATTTATTTGCTTATGAAAAGTCAAACTGAATTACAGTATTGCAGAGTACTTTCACTTCATCAGATTAGTTTTACCATTCATTCCACAAATATTATTTGTAAAATGTTGCAATACCTAGAAAACTACCTTACAAAAAGGTGCTTAAGAGTAGATGAGAAAGATAGATGTTTGTCTTCTCCTTTTGATATTGATGCTAAATAAAAGATGGAATGTTTTTGTTTAAAACTGATCTTTCATCCCTCCCTACCCCCCCAAACACAATAAAGTGAATGGCAATGTGAACAAAGAGTTTCTTTAAATCTGTTATTCAGTTCAAGTGTGTGTTAGGAAAAAAGATCTATTCTATGTATCAAATCTAGCAACAGAAAAGGCAACTGTAAATAGAAAAATAAAAATGTAGAGGAGACAAATATTCTGTGCACACAGCTTTAAAATCCTGACAGAGAACACGTGTTGAAAAGAGAGACTACACACTCATTAACTTAAACAGAAATTTCCAAAGAGCAATATCCCAACATGTTAATTTGCCACAATAGATTCACCCATTGAAATCAGCTCACTAGTCTTGACCAGCAAGTAGGGTCTTAGTTTTAACATCTAACAGTTCAATTGAAATGAAGGAAAGATTTTCACACAAATATCTTAGTAATATAGGCTTTTCTGGATTGTAATGGGGCATCTACTCAACATTCATTCAGTTCACAGGTAATGGAGCTCCTCGTGTCGTCTGCTCACACGGTAGCAGGGTCTTACTGGAAAAGGGCTCTGTTCATTTTCTAGTCAAATCACAGGAAAAGGTTATAGAATTGGTTAATGAAAACAGCTAATTTTTTTGATATCAGTTAAAAAATCTAAAGATATGAGTAGAAAGTAATAAAAGAAAGATAGCTGGCTGGGTTTCCCCCCTTCTTTACAGTGATATGGTAGAAATACAAGAAAAATGCGTTAACATCATTTAGTTAGGAAATCTGGTCCCTTCACTTGCTGTGGGGCTCAGCTTAGAGTAAGACAAGGAAAAAAATATTTTTGGCTGCAGCTTTAGTAAACAATGAATGATGAAAAGTATTGCAGAAATGTCTTCAAGAAGTCCGACAACTCAGAACAGAGACCTTATCACATCAATATTCCTCCACAAACTTGGCAAATGAATAACCGAGCCCTATTTTGGTAGAACAAGAAAAGGAAGTACTAGTTCCAGCATTGAAACAGGATTATGAAAACAACCAACCAACCAACCAACACAAAACAGTAATTTCTTCTCCTGAATAATAATGACATCATATTTGCATATAGGACAGCTTTTGCATTATTGCTCTACGTAGAAGAATATATTAAGGAACTCATAACAGACTGCACATTACAAACTTAAGGTTCTTTGGTGAAGAAAGAAAGAAAACAGTATTTGAGCTTTAAAGAACATGATCTCGTCCATTTTACTCTTATCTATTGATCCGCTGGATCCTCTCACAGAGCAGGGAGAGGTACTGTGTGAGTTTCACCATGGCGACGATCACCACTCCCCCGGCCATCATACACGTTGGCCAGAAAAGTGAATGGAACAGCACGTTGGAGCTGTAGAGTTTGGTGAGGATGACGCTCTTCTGGTTTCCTTCGGGGTCAGAATAGCAGGAGAAGTGTTGGTACTTCCTGAAGTTTTCCATGACGACATTCACCAGGGACATGGATTCTTCAAAATTTTTTCCACACTTAGGTATATAGGAGCACTGCGGAAAACGAGATAATTTGTTACCAAAAGATGTGTGTGTGTGTGTGTGTGTGTGTGTGTGTGTGTGTGTGTGTGTGTGTGTGTGT